CAAAGCCTCTGAAATAACTGCTGATGCATCATTCTCCATCTACTCGAGGTTACATCTCACCCAACCTCGAAAGTCTTTTACACATTGTATTCTTTTCAATTAAGACAGCTTTTGTCTACATATCAGCAAGGTTCTTCTTAGTGTGAATCTTCTCCACCTGTAAATCTTTACGCACAAGGGCCAACTAAGTAAATTGGTATCTGACCTCTATATGCTTTGTCTTGAAGTGATAAGCTGCATTCTTATCCAAATGAATAGCACTCTGGTTATCACAATGCATAACATATTTATCATGTTTCACCCCAAGCTGGTCGAGCAACCTTCTCAACCAAGTCATTTCCTACACTGCCTCAGTCAATACCACATACTCAGCTTCAGTTGATGACATGAAAACAATATCGTGCATCCTTGACATCCAGTTGACTACACCACCACCAACATTGAAAATATATACAGTGGTAGACCTTCTAGTATCACAGCATCTTGCATAATCTATATCTACATAACCAACAACTTCCAATAATGAATTCCTAAAACAGAAGCATACATTTCGTGTCCCCTTTAATACCGAAGGATCTACTTAACTGCTTGTCAATATTCCCAACCTAGATTAGAAATAAATATAGAAACAACTCCCACTGCATGGGCAATATCTAGTGTAGTACAAACCATTGCATACATCAAACTACCCACAGCAGAAGTATATGGAACATTCTTCATCTTGTTTCTATTTATCATTTTTTATAGCTTAAAATGTGCAACTAATGGCATAGAAATAGGTTTACAATCAATCATATTAAACGCTCAAGGACTTTTGAAATATATCCAGATTAACTTAACCAAAGCTTACCTTGTTTTCTATATCTATGGATGTGAATGCCCAATATCTTCTTGGCTTATTCAAGATCTTTGATGGCAAAATATTTGGACATATCAAGCTTCAAGACTTGATTTCATTTAGATCATTGCTAGTAATAAGCATATTATCAACATAAAGCAACAAATCTCTAAAAGAACCATATGTTGAACCTTTGAAGTACACACAGTGATCAAATTCACATCTAGAATAACCTTCACCCAGCATAAAACTATCAAATTTCTTATATTATTGCCCAGATGCTTGTTTCACATTATGCAATCCATTTTTCAACTTGCAAACCAAGTTAGGATTGTTTTGTTATCAAAACTTTTAGGTTGGCATTTATAAATTTATTTATCAAGAAGACAGTTTTAATATCAAATAGTTCTAGCTCCAAATTCAACTTAGCAACCAAAGATAAAACAACTCTAATAGGGCTATGCTTAACAATAGAAACAAAAATTTCATTAAAATTAACACCTAGTTTTTGCGCATAACCTTTCACCACAAATCTGGTCTTATATCGCATAAGACCATTTGTCTCCCACTTAATAACATATACCCACCTATTCTTCAATGTTGTCTTCCCATGTGGAAGCTCCACCAACTCTCACATATCATTTTTATGGAAATCATCAATATCTTCTTCCATTGCCTTATACCACCTTTTACCATTAGGGCAATAAATAGCCTCCTGAAAAGACTCAGGTTCACTATTATTAGTATACAAAGCATAATATAGGAAGAATAATATCTTTGTATGGGCTTGTGAGGGCGTATAGATCTTCTCAATTCTGGTTCAGGTGTAACTGATAGTCTTTCCTCATCTTGAATTAATTCAGTGTCATCCTCATAACGAGCATCACCTCCATCAAAACTATATTGAGCTTGAGCTTGACTCTCATGCATTTGTTGAGGTGAAAGACTGAGATTTGGTTCTTGTATATCTACAACAAGTCTTTTTTGTTTTGGTTGTTCCTACTTCTTTTCAGCAAACATTACATTCTCATTAAAGAGAACATCTCGACTTCTGATGGTCTTCTTTGTAATAGGATCCCAAATCTTATAACCTCTATCATTACTACTATGTCCAATAAAGCACATCTTCTTGACTTAGCATCCAACTTGGCTCTACTTTTACTAGGCACTTGAACATAAGCTTCACACCCAAATGTTCTCAAGTGTTCATATGACACACTTTTACCTCTCCACAGATTTTTAGGTATTTCACCATTCAAGGGTGCACTGGGATATCTATTGATCAAATACATAGTTGTACTAGCAATTTCAACCCAAAATTGCTTACCAAGATCGGATTGTGATAACATGCTTCTTACTCTATCAATGATGGTCCTATTCATTCTCTCAATTACACTATTTTGTTGTGGTGTCCCAAAAATAGTCCTTACCCTGCGAATACCATTTTCTCTATAAAAAGTATCAAAGACATTCGAGCAATATTCGCCACCATTATCAGTTTGCAAGCATTTTATAAATCTCTTTGTTTTTTTTTTTTTTCAGGTTTGACTTTGAAAACCTTGAAAACTTCAAAAACTTTATCCTTAGATGCCAAAGGATACAACCAACACTTTCTAGAATAATCATCTAAAAAAGTATCAAAATAAGAAGCTCCACCAAGAGATTTAACATTAACATGACCACACATATTAGAATAAATCAATTCTAATACTTTACTTTTTCTATGAAATTCATTTCTTTTAAAATTAACTCTACGCTGCTTACCCATGTCACAATGTTCACAAAAATCAAGAAATGAGTGCTTAAAAATAGGAATAAGATTTCGAGTTTACAATACCTTCATACCATGCTCATTGAGATAACCCAATCGAGTATGCCAAATCTTCATATCATCTTGCTTACTAGTTGTAGCAACGATCTTCTTTGTAGCATCATTCCTTTGAGCCATGCCATGAAGAGTGTAGAGACTTTCATCTTTTTGCCCTTTCAACATTATCATACCTCTTGAAATCTTCCATGACCCATTTTCAAAAGTCACTATGAAACCAAAGTCATCTAACTACTCGGTTGAAATAAGATTTTTCTTCAACTCAAGAATATGCCTTATATTTTTCAATGTGTACTTATTTCTATCTGATTGCTTGATAACAATATTTCCAATGCCCAAGATTTTGCTAGATTGTTCATCATCAATATAAACCAAGCTACCATCCACATCTGTGTAGGATGAAAAATATGACATTTTTGAGCAAACATGAAATGAAGCACCAAAATCTAAAACCCAAGTATATGCAATCAATAATGTTGTACATGAAATACTAAAAGTGACCACATCTTTACCATATGAAACTGTACTTGCTTCGGCATGACCATCCTTGGCCTTGGCTTTTTTTTGTTCTTCAGAGCATACCAGCAGGTAACATTCTTGCATTGTGACTTGGACCTGCTCCTCTATCTCCTGCTCTCTATGTTGGGTTCTCCTCTATCTCCTGCTGCCAATGCTTGATTTGACTCAACAATGAAGCCAAAACATCTTTCAAATTAAACTTGTTAACCATTGTATCAATCACAGTGGTAACCAAGATATCCCAACTAGCAGGCAAAGAACTCAGCAAAAGCAAACATAAAACTTCTTCATCCAAATTCACTTTCAAAGACCTCAATTGTGCAGAAATTGAATTAAATTCACTAACATAGCTCTAATTATAGTACCTTCGTTCATTTTCAAAAGAAACAACTTTTTCATGGCATGCATTTTATTTGAACCAAAGGGTTGTTGAAAAGATTGCCAAAACTTTGCAAATGTTTTACATTGAAAAACATCAAATAAAATTAATGGTGAAATACATGGTCTAATAGCTACCAAACATTTATGATCAAGAACATCCTATTCCAATCTTCTATTCCAACATATATGACCTCTTTAGCTCGAAGTGGCAGATCCAATTCTTTTCGAAAAAGATAATCTTCCATCATCATTTTCCATATTGGCCGATTACTTTGATTTAATTTTTCAAATTCCATTGCCCTTTTCATTTTTAAAAAAATACAACAAATAACCACAATAGCAAAAAACCCTTTCTTTACAGACGCAATGAAGAACAAACCCTAGGCTCTGATACTAGTTGTTGGGATCGATTGGTAAAAATCAGAAAAATCTGATCCATTGTGCATTCATAGCAATATAAATAAGCAATGCGAACTACACAATATCAAAGCAAGAGCATAGAATGAAAAATCCAGCAATATGCATTCACAGAGCACAAGTAATTTAATGTCGTTCGGTCACCGTGATCTACATCCATAGGAGAATGACACAATACTTTACTTACTGATTTGGAAATATTACAAGGTGAAATCGATCTCAAAACAGCAATTTCCAGCAACCATTTCTCACTTTAAACATGCCCAAAAAACAAGGCACCAAGAACACCAAAAAATGAATTCTCTTTGACATTTTCTCTCACTAAAACATGGCATACAACAAATCCACAATGGGCTCAAGCTCTTGCTTAATTTCTCTCTCTAAAACAAAGCATACAATAACCCTCAAGAGAAAACCCAATTGCAACCAAATCTCTCTATCTTTTTCTTACTATTGCTCTCTTTAAACAAATGGGTTTTAATCACTTTAAAAGAGTAAAGTTCATATAACGCCACAATTATTGGATTAGATGAAATCCAATAGCCCAAAATAAAAGAGAGAAAAATTAAATACAATACCCACATGCGTTATTTCTCTTTACACTTGTAACAGATGAAACAAAACCTACCTAATTTTTATCATCGAAAGCCCCTTTTGTCAGACTCCTTGAATGGGTATACGATCCGATGAGAGTTTAAAATCTATCTCTTATAGCTTTCACCTTCTTCTTTAGTTTGCTGGTTATCTCCTCTTTTCTATACTTTTTTTTTTTGATCATGGCTTTCCTTTCTTTTCCAACGCTTTCTCTCTAATAAGGGAAACAAGTTACTCTTTTTTATAGGTTATTTTGATGGGTTACCGGCTTAACTCGTGACTATATTTTTGTGATATTTAGTGTCTTCTAATCTCAGCCGCCTATTTAAATCAAAAGTTAAAAAGACCGCCTATTTCAAATCAAGGGTTAAAAAGATGGGGGAAATCTCAGCCACCTATTTCAAATGAATGGTTAAAAAGGAGGGGGAGGATAGATCTTCTCAGCTGTCCGGGAAGCATAGAAAGCTTTCCCATTAGTATGATCTTGTGGCCTTCTTGTTTCTCTAAACTACCCAAAAGTCTATTCCGCCTCTCCCAAAACTACTCCCTCTAATATAAGGCGACGATCGCATTTGTTAAATGCGGGTGCGTAGCTCTTCATTCTTCCCGCTCAGAGCCACGGCGACGCAACACCCTTCCAAAGTCTCTTCCACTGAAACCAAAACCCTAGAACCATGGTAACTAATCTTCTCTCAACTACTATTCTGGGCTCTTCTGCATGCCTTTTATTCCTTTCTGTATTATTTGCACCGAGTAAAATATTGTTCAGTTTCTCCTTTCTCACTGTTTTCTCCTTCCTTTTTTTCTTTTTTGTTGTTTTTTGTGTTAATAATCGAATATTGATTTCTGATGCGTCTGAGATTTACTGGTGTTTTCTTTATAGCCATGCTTAACTCTTTTCCTTGTGTTTTTTTACTGCTTTATTTAGAGTTCTGAAGCTGTGAACCCCAAAGCATACCCGTTGGCTGATGCTCAGCTTACCATCACTATTTTGGACCTCATTCAGCAAGCCGCCAACTATAAGCAACTCAAGAAGGGAGCCAATGAAGGTATTTTTCAGGCCTTCGTTTGTCCTGTTTTCTTTTGATTATATATATATATTTTTCAAACCGGAAAGTAAAATTCGGGTGAGTTTTGATTTTTCTAGCTCATATTTGTTTTTGTTAAGTTGATTTGTTGTGGCTTATGTGAAGTTTAAGCGAGCAGTATCTTCTTCTCTCTCTTTTGCCCATTCCCCCCCCC